TGTAATTACAATTTTACCACGCCGTGACCTCAAACACACGACATAATTTAGAATGACGCGTTTTGTTTTGATTAATGAAAGCCGGGCACTGGGACTAGCATGATACGGGAAATTATTGCCTTGATATGGGGGCGCACTTCCCAAAGCGATACGAGGCCGACCAATACAAGGTATGTGATAACACACAATAAAGTCTGTTTTATTTAATAGAGTAGATAGAATGAAGAGGATGCTACTGGCACATTCGACGCGAAAGATTAGCGCGTAAATGTGCTAGTTCGTCACAGCCCAACAATGAATAAACGAAGACGTCACTTTAACCTCAAGAGACTGGCTCCGGTGACAAAGCAACGAACTGGCATTTAATCAAAAGTACGGCTAATCTACCTCACGACTCTTAGCACATAAAGTAGGCCGAGAGTATCCAATTATTTGCGTGTATAATATTGCACGTGGGAGAGTGTTATTATTGCACTGACATAAAGTATCAATTTTCTAATTCCACTACATTTTATCTTTTGAGTCTGTGTTACCTATAAAATGAATTATGCTTAGGGCTGTAAACACATTATATGCATTTCTTTAAAATCAGTTATGGCGGACAATCATGTTTCAAAATAAGCGTGTGTTGCTGATAAAAATGGATATTGAATCGGAATTTTAAAAAAATAACCTGGGAGGTTACGACAACTCAAGCAAACATTTGTTCATCGTACTAAGAAGGCAAATGAAGTAATGTCAGTGTAGCCACGTTGTTTGATACACCTGTTGCGTGTATTTGGAAACTTGAAATTTTGACTTTCTTAGAGAACCAAACATTGTAGAAAATGTGTGACTATTTATATGATAACAAAATCTTGAGTTACAATCCCAATGAACGAGAAATGGTCTATTAGCCAGCGTCTCATTAGTTGACATCTACATGTTATAGTACGTGATTTGCATTTTAATTGTGTTGTACGTTTGAAGTACTGTAAAAGGGGTAATTATTCACTGGGTTTTAATTTAGCTTATTTCGCTGACTGGAAAAATGCGCTAAATTAAAACACAGTGAATATGTAAAATTTAGCATAGAACACATTATCTAAATGACGAAACCGTGAATTTAAAACTCACTGAATATGCCTGAAATGGTAAATCAGTGAAATTTAAACCCAGTGAAAATTAGTCATTTTACAGTATGCTATTCGCGTTTCAGTCGTATGCGCAAACACTGCGCGGACGACTAAAAACTCGAGTGCCGATAGATAATTACAATTTTATAGGCAATTTGTATTGCGATGAACAATTTCCCAGGAAACAGAGGTCTCGGTGTTTGCATTTCAATCACTGAAATCTCAGACGGTTTAACGAGGGACACGCACTTGCTCGCCGTAACTAACTGCATGAGTTGAACGTACAGAGCCGAAAGGCATATGCATGAATTTACAGCATAATTCTTTTTTTATAAGTAAACTAAGATGGATGTAATGTATAAAATTTAGTGGAATTAGAAAATTCAAGTTTATGTTAGTGCAATAATAACACTGTCCTAAGAGCGGCATTATCAACGTAAATAATTGGATACTCCAGGCCTTTTAACCAAGAATCGTAAAGTAGCGGGGGATGTACTAAATACTCAATTGACATATATTCTGACCATGTGTAATGGTCATAGCACATACACTAGTATATGTCGTAACCATCACGTTGCTTTGAGTTATACAATCACCGCCGTGACTGTCATTGCTGTTATTATAAATCGAGGGACTATGACCAATTACGGCCAGTTTAAGCACTAACTTACTATTTGTGCTAACTATTTATATTTTGGACTACTACGCCAAATATAATAAGTGCCATTATTCAATTAATTGTGCTGCCGCTCATGTGATTGGCACATCTGGCAGTCATTTTATTCCATAATAATTTGCATATCGCTTGTGAAAATACCTATTGTAAACCTATAGATTCACGGCTCTAAATACATGTTGCATGTTCCATGGCATTACAATACATTACGAATAATACTACATGGACACAAAAATAAACAGACGGGGGTCCTTCTGGTTGTTGTCAATGCAGCAATCAATTCACGTGCTTTGTGACTTTTGACATGTAAAGTAATTATTTAAATTATTAAATAATTAAATAAAGTACTACTTGTTGAACGTCCAGGGTGTTAAAACATTGTCTATCGAGTTACTGAACCAGTTGATATCGGACAGTAGTAAGTGAAATAGTAAATAGAGATTCAAGTTCAGTGATATGGTAATTTATTAAAAAAGTATTGGTCACATGACCGTTCAGTCATTCCCGGGTTGTCAAAATGGCGTGTGTCAAGAATGTGTGATAAGACAGTGATAATGTACGCAGATACATTTTTGTTTACATTGTGAAATTTAGCAAATTTTATTGTCATTTTGTCCGTTCATGTCAAACATTCATTTTCACTGACATATACTAGTAACATGTAATTAGTTATTTTTTGCTTTGCTCGCTATTATACATATTGCACTGTATAATCGGAGGTGTAGGCGTATCTGAAATGAAAAAGTTAGTCTTTTAAAAAGTACAAGTATAATACATTCTGAGCACAATATCGATCCCAGTCGTTCTATACAAACGCCTTGATCAAATCAATGAAAATAAAGCCCAAGCTGTAAACTTTATCAGCCCATAAACCTAGGTTGTGCGAATATTTCGACAGGAGTGGTCACCGACAACAAGTAATTTCATAATATCCACCATCAGTCGACACTGATCAATCACCAACCTATACCGCACCTGTTTTACAATTTCAATGCTTAAATAACTACACACTCTTAACGACAACTGCTACTTTATATTTTGCTGGAGGAATTAGCTATAAGTAAAAACACGTGACATATTGGTGTTATAGTGTAATCCCTCTGTTCTGTGGTGTTACCTTCTTATACATTATACACTTTGATTTAGTCAGCAGATCAACCTAATTCTACCATCAACAAATAATTTCCATCATCTGATGCTATGACCACTCAACAACACTGAAAAGTTCAGGCCAGCTGTTCTAAACTTTGAATTATGGCCAGTATTACCGTGTCTCACCCCTTTACTACAGAAAATCACCAGATGTGATGCTATCGCTGGTTGGATATTCGTGCTGTCAATCACTTGTCTGGTGTATATATCAGACAATCGACAATTGTGCGCAATATCCGGTGACGTCAACTGTACCAACCCCTCTTAATGTTGGATAAGCTACAAATTTGACATGTTGAGCAAATTTTTTTTTAAAATACACAACCAGACTTTTCTAAAAATATCCTACATCATTAGTACGTCTACTCGAATGACTATACTTATTTAGTTGTTTTGTAACCATAGCCTGTTATTATGTATCAATATGATGAGCATATTACATGTGTAATCTGCATATAATGCGTCACAATTTGTCTAAATAATCATGTTCTATGCCATGAATAGTTCTGATCGTGTAAAAATAGTTGGTCATGTGGGATTTCTACGACATAAGTTTGGGTCTTTCGCAACCTCAGGCTTGATGGTAATGGTAATGTGATGGCCCTAACACAGGGTCTCAATACAGGGGCCTACGTGATTACATTAATTATGACGGACGATGAACCTTCGTGTAATGATCTCGCGAGAAGTGTGTGTATAAGGTATACAGAGTCGTTTCGCCCAAAGGGATAACTAGTAAATTAACTTGGATATTATTTTCGAAATAGAATAAACTGAAAATGTTCGGTCCTCTTTAAATTTGTAGACTGTGATTAAGTATATCGTTTTAATCATAAAATTTGAAGGTTTTCGATTATTGGGGGTGTTTCATTTTTATGGGATATTCCGTCTCCCCATCGCCACTTCACTGTTGCATAAAGTGTACAACGCACTGACCATATATTTTAGTGTTTAAAACTAAAGAGGACGAGAAAGCGTTTTTTACATCCTGAGTCACAACAGTTACCAAGACAACGAACAGTCAGTCAAGCGGTAGGTCCGTAGGTGATTATATCACTCTCGTTCACTGTCTTTAAATGGAGATGGTATTGTTTTCTAGGTCATTTAAACACTCGTTGGATTTTAATAATACACATCTTCTGTTCAAATTATAGAAAACAAAATTATAGAAAACAAAATCTATTTTGATTATAGAAACATTTCCATGCTTTCGTCCAGCCGGTCGTTGTCATGGACATTGTTACAACATTTCAAAACCGCTCTTTGTTGACCATATGTACAGTACCACAAGCTCGGCTGTGTGAAATTTATTATCCTACAATATATGTCGCATTAATTCAGTAATCAATTATAAATTATGCATACTCTATAGATTATTCATAATGCACTGGCGGCAATCACGTTCAAATTTCCCCCGGGTTGATCGTATCACCAGACATACCATACCATCAACATGCGTTGATCAATTTCCCGTGGGTGTTGAGTCACATATAATATAGGACGTACTTGATTTACAGCTGAGGAAACATTCATCTACACTCAGGGGGGATTCAGTATGCAATTATTAACGGCTATTCCATTTATTGGACACACAGCTGTGGCGAAAGTTAACAGGCATCTGCCATAATTTCGGATGTAAACAACGTGGTAACAAGCGGATGGAAACAAAATAGCTATGGTGTGGTTAACAATATCATCGTAGATATAATAATCAGATATGCACAGAGGGTCCAATGACCGTAAACTAATCGCCGAGAGGTGACTGTTCTCCACTGTTATTGGATAATCACAGTATTGCGCTGTGTAGTCAATACCGCGTTATTTTCTCCGCTGTTGAAGACACCGCTGATGTATTGGTTGATGTAACAACATCTGCAGACGCCTGGTCTACTTGTGAACCCAACCACCAACATGCTCGAATGACTATAACGGTTATCAGTCTGTATATATATATATATATATATATATATATATATATATAGTTCAATCCATAGCAGCAGCCACGCCCATATCTGTACGGTACCGATTTATTTATCTGTGGTGTGGAACCACTAATCATGCAAGCAACAGAAGGGGGCGGCGGTGGGAGACACTTCTGTAAACCGAGCCGCATTTTCAGTTTACTCTTCACCCATGTTGGCTTAGCCTGCATGCTAGTCGTATACGCCGTTATCGGGGCTGCAGTGTTCCAAGCGATTGAAGGACAGTTCGAAATCCGGGAACGAATACATTTAGAGCAGACACGTAAAAATGTGTTTGAACTCATCTGGAATATCACAGTAATCGACGGCCAGGAGAATATCAATTTCACCAGTTGGTCGGAGCAGGTTGCAAACATATTCAGAAAGTACGAGCATGAACACAGACGAGCCGTTATCCACGGTGTTTCCGATGAACTGCAGCCACTGAGATGGACATTTTCTGGCTCGTTATTCTTCGCTTGCACAGTGTTCACCACCATAGGTGGGTATATTTCAAAATATACTCTGACATTAAAAAGAATGTTGTGTTCAACAGTTTTACATAACACAATACTGTGTATAGTTGTATAGATAATATAGAATAGTTAACTATGTCAAAATTGCAACAGCTGTTTCTTTTGAATCAGTGTATATATATAGCATGTATTAGTAATATTCTGCTACATATTTCCCGTCGACCCCCCGGGTTAAAATGTATTCAGCATTATACCAAAACATATTTTGTATCTGATTTATCGAATATTTGTCATCGGAAGGTGTCCGAGATTTGCCTCGTCTCCATCTGACTAAATTGGTCACAAAGGTGACTGTCTCATGCGTATTGTTGAACGTAGGAGTATGATGATATCGGTTTGGTAAATAACAGCGACATTGTACACACAATACTAATCACAAAATCGTACATGTCTCTATGGAGATACAGACTAGATAAACACTGTTACCATGGATTTATCGCACTGTGATTCCAAAACGGTACCACTGTCTATGTTTGGTAGATTTTGTTAGACACGCGTTATGTGGTACGTACCTAGTGATTCCGTAACTGGATAATTGGAACGAGGGTATATAATAAAAGGAAGATAGCGTGTCCGAGCTTTTCAAACCGCGCGATGGTAGTAAAGTACAATAGCATTCTAGTATCAATTATATTTCACGTGTCATGTCAGAAGTATGTATAAATTGACAACATTGTAAATTACTCGTTCCACACGCGATGACTAATTTATTCTACCATTTAATTTCAATATAAAAGGCTCATTAATGTTATCGATCACTGCAATGTGCAATTTTAAATGATTTTTTTAAATATGCCCTATCATGGTTAACCGTTGAATACAAGGTTTATTTTGTACATTAATGCTTAAAAATCAAATATGCTCAGAAAATAATTGATATTTTCAACATGAAGTGGTCGTACCGCTGATTACATATATTTTAGCTAGATGATATTATATTAGTGAAGTGAATTTTCAGCCGTGACGTTACGACCATACTAAACGTTCACTTACTTGGTGTATTTATGTATGGAATATAGACTACAATAGCACAGTCAGTGCCATTATAGTAACTAGTGGGCTGTCATTTAAACAGGTTGAACACAGTAATAATATGTGCATATGGCAGGGTACCTGTTAGTCCATTTAGTCCATCACATGTTTTGTTTCCTTGGAGACGTAACGACAAGAGCTAACCAGTTTCTGTCTATAAACTAAATGCATTAACGTAAACCAGTCAAATTTATGACTGTTTAGTTAATTACACTGTATATTACGAAGGTGTATTGGTCCTAAATCTCGCGATTCATTCGGACACAATTTGAAATCACGCAGTGTCTACTGAATTATGATCTGGATTATGTTCAATGTTCTTGACAAAGATATTTGTATTTGAAAAAATCGCGCAGCTGCTTAAACTAAATGGATATTATCTCGTTATCGATACTGCATGTGGCTGCGTGGCTGACGTTCCACCACTTCATAAATTACTGTGAATGTCGCTTTAGTTGTAATGATTATATTTTGATGCCAGTTAGCTTGTGAATTCTTCGGGCAAAGTGTGTTATGACAACTGCTTTCAACGTGATTACTTATTTACCACGCAATCGAATCGACCCCACGTTACCCACAGAATCAATAAAAGTCAAACATATCTAATAAGCTGTAATATTTTAAAAGCTATAATCTTTTTTTCTTTTGTATCAGTGGTTTGAAAATATACGTGGAGCTATGTACTGATTACGTAAACGTAATAATAGGGGTTCAATGACGCCACTTTTTCACCCTCAGTTGTTTTTGTTTTGCAAAAATCTCCATATCGTTACCGCCTTAAGGTATAAACGAAAAGCGAAATTTACATTTTAATTGAATTTTCAGGAATTGTAGACAGCATAAATTATTCATATCTTGTTTGCATGACCTAATTTTTTTGCAAGACTTCATGGAAAACATTACCAAAACGGTTAAATAAACAAATGGCGTTTGGTACGATGAATACACGAATGTTGATTCAGCGAAATGAAATATTGAAAATACATGTATCAGTTTTCACCTTCGTATAGCATAGTACGATGTATGCTCATAAATAATGACCTGACTGCTTCTCAATATGAAATCATACCAAGGATAAATACAGCTGATAGAATCACATACAACAAGTTATGAAAGAACGGTCACGAGATTCCAGCAGGAGTTAGTTACCCTGGGAGAAATAGATGGTTGTCACGACAACGGTGCTTTTGGTAATGATTCTTTGTTCATCGCTGAAAAAATTATACACGAATTGTCATGAAAACGTTGAGGCGAATGTAAATAATGTACATGTGTACAATTTACATATACTCTACATCGAAATGAAACTGTGAAAGTGAAACCGCTTTACTGGTGTATTGAGACACTTTGGGTTTATTTACTAATAACCTACAGATCATTGCCAGTAGCGGTGTTTCTTCTCTAGATTAAACAAGATCCCGAAGACATGGTAGAATAAAACTACGCGTAGCTGAGTATGGATGTGTTGTTCGGGGCGTCCCTTACACACAGAACTCCATCGAACAGGTAGATCCGGAGAACACGCATTCCAGTGGCACTATGTTCGATGTCATCTAATCAAGTTATTAAACCCGTTTTCAGCAGCCATAACATCTTTCCTTAATAGAGGATTACTGCGATTTAATGAATTCTATGGAAGATTTATGTCTTTGTTACTGTGACTGAATGGCATGCCGATACTGGTGATAGACGTATACATTGGTAAGGCGGTTTCACTCTCCCAGAGTTTCCATAAAACGGCTGAATTTTATTAAACACCACATTTGTTATTGCTCCATGTATAAGTAATATTTCGACATCAAAATAATTGAAAACTTACCTCATAGTCGTGAGGTTCGTACGAATATATAATTCTATGCTTGGTGCATACGCTAACAGCAGCCATGATGAAAGAAAGTTTCAGTATAAAACAAACACTCTTGTAAACTTGCTCTGTGATTGGTCGGCAAAATATAACTACTGGAGCTCTCGTTTTACGAGATTTATATGGCAAATGAGTCAGGTGTAGGTTGGGCGTCAAAAGAAACACATTTTAAAACCAATACCGCTAATTCAAACAAAATAAATAATAATTTAACATGTAAAAAATGAATAAATAAATTTGGAACTCGACATTGGTATCAGTGTGGGAAGACATTGATGCATTCATAAGTCGTTTATTGCAACTTGTAGCCTCCAGTAGTTGAAACATTTACAGGAAACTAACCATGTATGGTTAGACTGGAACACCGCGAATACTCCTACGATTAACTAAACTTATCTTATTATTTTGTTTTTTATATAAATGACAAAATACCCCCGATTGAAGGGGTGGTCTTACAACAATCACCTGGAATGATGCAATGACTCAGTATGAACCAAGACCACGGGATCTGTGTTTTTTTCAATTCTGTATTGGTAATGATGTTGTCATTGAAGTCTAATATCATGACACGTTAAAAAATAATAATTTATCATTACTAATATCTCAATTCAATCATCGAGTTCCATTCAAATCGAGAATAGTAATAACAATGACTGAGAATGGGTTACTATTGGAAGTTAAGATGACATCAATATTAAGGGTCATTGCATAGAATTGTACTATAGCGTATTGTCTTTGATGATGTAGGGCCATTTATAATATTTAATAAATTGACTGACTGACTGAATGGCAATGGTTGATACATTGTAACATGTGTAACCATAACTTGTTATTATTTATCAACATACTGAACATATTACATGTGTAATCTGCATATGATGCAGCCTTATTTAATTGTTTGGATTGTGATTACGTACATTGTGATCTTCAATCATATATTTTGAAGCTTTTCGATGAATTAAGATACATTGGTAATGATAAACTGGTGCGTGTTCCGGAAGGTGCTTCTCCGCCATTTTTTACGTGTTATTCAGTCTCCCCCAGCGCCACTTTGTTGTTGCATACAGTGTACAATACATATTTTATTGCGCCACTCGACAGCTGCTCGGTTCTCAACTCTATCTATACAACTAAAGAGGACGAGAAAGCGGTCTCCTACATCCTGCAACACAACAGTTGCCAAGACAACGAACAATCAGTCAAGCGCAGTGAATACAAAAACAAATCATAATCGAATTTGTCACTGCATTGTAGGTAATTATAGCACTCTCGTTCACTGTCATTCAATGGACGTGGTATTGTTTTCTAGGTCATTTAAACACACTTACACTAAATAATGAATTTATGGCCAGGAAATAAAACCATATTCTAGAACAATGTACTCATTAGTCTTGTATTTTAAAAATACACATCGTCTGTTTTAATTATAGAAAAACAAATCAGTTGTAATTATAAAACCATTCTCTGTACGGTCGTTTTCATTGACAATGTTACTGCATTTCAAAAGATAATGTTGTTGACCATATGTACCGCAAGCTTGGCCATGTGAAGTTCATAATACATGTTTGTATTAATTCACTGATTAATCAAATATGAATTATTCATACTGTACTCGCTGTAACGTTCAAATTACCCCTGGGGTGATCGTATCACCATATCAGAACCAAATGAATGATTCGCCACATGCGTTGATCAATTTCCCGTGGGTCACATATACACACAATGGAACGTACTTGATTTACAGCTGAGGAAATAATCATCTACATTGGGGGGAGATTCACTATGCGATTATTCGCGGCAATTCCATTTATTAAACACACGGCTCTGGCTAAATGACATGTGCCAAGTAAATAGGCACTTGCCGTAATTTAGAATGCACCAACGTGGTAACAAGGAATGGAAAAATTAGTTATAGTGTGAATAACAATATCATCGTATGATAATTAGATATATACGGAGGACCCAATGACCGTAAACTAATCGTCGAGAGGTGACTGTTCTCCATTGTTATTGGATAATCACAGTATTCAGTATTAGAACTGACGTATTTTACTCACGCTGTGCACTCAGTATCGAGATACTTTCCTCTGCCGTTGAAGACATCCCGATCTACTGTACTTTACTGGAAGAGCATCTGGCAATTTTAAAATGCCTGGGTCTACTGGTGATATTAAATGTATTTCCAAAAGACGCAAACTCTACACATGCTGGAATAACTGTCATAACTATAACAGCTATTTGTGTATAGTTCATACAACAAGTAGTTGCAACGCTCACATGTGTGTGGTACCGATGTGTTTATCTGTGGTGTGGAACCACTAATCATGCAAGCAACAGAAGGAGGAGGCGGGGGGAGACGCTTCTGTAAACCGAGCCGCATTTTCAGTTTACTCTTCACTCATGTTGGCTTAGCCTGCATGCTAGTCGTATACGCCGTTATCGGGGCTGCCGTGTTCCAGGCGATTGAAGGACAGTTCGAAATCCGGGAACGAATACATTTAGAGCAGACACGTAACAATGTGTTTGAACTCATCTGGAATATTACAGTAATCGACGGCCAGGAGAATATCAATTTCACCAGTTGGTCGGAGCAGGTTGCAAACATATTCAGAAAGTACGAGCATGAACACAGACGAGCCGTTATCCACGGTGTTTCCGATGAACTGCAGCCAGTGAGATGGACATTTTCTGGCTCGTTATTCTTTGCTTGTACGGTGTTCACCACCATAGGTGAGAATATGTCGAAATATATTTTGACATAAAAAAGAGAATGATTTACAGTTTTAAACACATTTCTATTATTTTATTAGATTATAGATAGTATACAATATTTAACCCTGTTCCAATCGCAACAGCTGTTCCTTTTGAATCAGTGTGTGTATATATAGTAATATTCTGCTATATATTTTTCCGTCGACCATTGGGTAAAATGCATTCAACATTTTTGTTGTCGAATATTTTTCATCGGAAGGTGTTCAATATTTGCCTCTGACTGGACACAAGGGCAAATGCCTAATGCTCGTTGTAAAACGTCGGAATAGAGTAATATCAGACTAAAAACAACTAGCGACACTGCACATAAATAATAATCACACATTCACCAATCACACATGTCCATGCGACTAGGGATCAACACGGGTTTATCACTGTTAAAATGTCTGTGCCCTACGCAGGTGACGACTCCCCCGCTTTAACATAGATTTATCGCACTGTGGTTCCCAAACGATACACATATCACTCTATGTGTGGCAGATTTTGTTAGGCACGCATATGATTTTAAACACCATGCTAGTACAGCATTTTTGTATTAATTATATTTCACGTGTCATTTTAGAAATATATTTAAATTGACAACACCTTAAATAGGATAATGTATTCTATTGTGTAATTTCAAAATCATTCAGTTCAAAATCATTAATGCTATTGATCTTCGAAACGTGTAATAAAAAATGTTTTTTTTTTGTTTTTTTAAATTATGGCTTATCACTGCCATGGTTAACCGTTAAATACAAGGTTTATCATGTCAAACATGCCGAGAAAGTAATCGATATATTCAATATGAAGTGGTGGTGCCGCTGAATACATTTATTTTAGTTAGATGGTTTTATATTATCACGGAAAGGTTATATTGACATGAGAAATGAAGTGAAGTGAATTTTTCACGGGCGTGACGTCACGGTCAAACTAAACGTTCGCTTGCTTGGAGTAGTTATGTAGCAGGGGTACAGAATACCATTGCAGATTCCAAAATCGCATATTAATATTACCCAAAATAAAAAAAAAAATTTGTGACAGACTGTACACCAGTAACACAAATGAGAGGCGATTATATTGTTGCCGAAATACAGTCATTATAGTAACATTATAGTAACTGTCATTTACGTGGATTGATCACAGTAATAATACGTGCTTGTGGCGGGGTACAGGGGATGGCAATCTGTTAGTCCATTTATGCCTTTGTTCGCCTAAGTTATGTTTTGTTTCCTTGGAGACTTAACAATATGACCTAACCAGTGACATGTCTATAAACTAAATGCATTGGCGGAAAACAGTTTATTTAATTGCAATGTAAATTGCAACAATTTGCCACAAAATGTATTGGTACAAACCCTGCAATCGACTGAGAAATAATTTCAAATCAAGCAGTGTTTACTGAATAATGATCGGGATTATGTTCTATGTTATTGACAAAGATATTTTATATTTAAAAGAAAATGCACAACTGCTTAAACTATATGTATAATATCTCGTTATCGATACGGCATACGTGGCTGTGTGCCTGACGCTCAACTGCTTCAGGCAATACCATGAATGTTCCTTCGCATGTAATGACTATAAGAAAAGGTTAATTAAACAAATGGCGTTCAATATAATACATACAGACATGTTGATTTAGCGAAATGAATAACCGCTAAATAAATATCAGTTTTCGCCTGCATATAACTTAGCATGATGTATGCTAATAAATAACCGCCTTACTCTTTCTCTGATGAAGTCTAAGTTATGCCAAGGAACGATACAGCTGATAGAATCACCACACACAGAAGTGTTTCTTGCCTACAAGTTAATCGAGTTGTTTAGCATTTGCATAGTTTTGCTGAACGTGAATACAAATGTGCATAAATTGTATAAGCTCCACGGCTTGTAGAACATATAAATGAATTTGATTATAATACATATCTCTGAAGGAAGTGATGTTTTGCCGGCGTTTGTTTGTGTTCCTGATTTTAGGCATTATAAGTTGCCCTTGGCACGAGGACCAATCCATAACAAATTGATAGAGATGTGGAACCGGTTTCAATTTAGAGAATTTGTTTTGTTTAACACATAACGTTATTGATGGATTTTTGAAAATGTCAGGAAGGGTTGGCTTTGCCACTGGGACCAGTCGATTAGATTTAGGTAGAGACTGAAGTGGATCAGGTTTTCATGGTAACTGAATTTGTTTCAACAAGTTATGAAAAGAGTGATCATTAGATTCCAGTTGACATAAGTACAAATCAATTAAATATTGGGAAATATGGATCCAGTGTAACAGTAATTTTGGGAATTATTCTTCTTTTATGGTTATGGTTATGGTGAATGTACATGTGAATATGTATATGCAAGACATCGAGGTGCACATGAATGCGAATGCATATACATTTCTTATCAAATGAATGTCCATATAGTTCAAGTCGCACTAAAATGATGCTCCCCCAAAACATACCGACAGTTTACTTGAGAATAATTATTTTTCTTTCTACTTCACCAGGATATGGACATATGGCACCAGAGACAACAGAAGGTCGTGCTTTCTGCATGGTATATGCATTCTTCGGCATTCCTCTACTTATGCTGGTCCTAGTTGATTTGGGTTCATTGCTTGCAAGAGGAACCAAATTGTTATATCTTAAAATATTTCGACCGTACATCAACAAGACAAGTGGTAAAGTGTCTTGTTTCAAGAACAAACGGGGATCTGCAGATATACAGCAAAATTCTATTAGGGATGAACGTGGAATTGAAAATCCTGTTCCCGTGAACGAGGGTGAGAATAATAGGAATGATAACATCTTTAAAAGTGATTATGGCGGAGATGTTATAGTGATGGAAAGCCAGGAAGGTACAACAAATAAAAATGACAAAGAAGAGCATGATGAGATGGATATTCCTATGTTGGCGATCATTGCCTTTGGATTTCTATACATGTGTGTATTAGCGGCACTTTTTTCAGCATGGGAAGAAAACTGGGATTACTTCGAGTGCTTTTATTTCTCTTTTATTACACTGAGTACCATCGGGTTTGGTGATTTGGTTCCAGAACATCAAAAGTTCACCATAGCATCATCGTTTTTTATTCTACTGGGCATGACTGTGATGACGATGTGCATCACATTATCGCAGTCCAAAATACAGCACTCGTTAACGTGGATGGGATGGAGAATCGGTATCAAACCAAAGCCCAAAGAAGACGATGCGCAAAAAGATGGTGGTGGTGATGTACACGCGTAGAGCAGGTGAATTGGAACATATACAAGTGCAGGTGAATTGGAACTTATACAAATCAAACTAACAACACATAAATTGATACAATACAAATATGTGAATATTATGTTTTGAAAATGCGATATGATATAAAATTGGCATAATTTAAATATTGGTTATAGTAATGTTTATAGTTTATTTTACACATATTTGTAAATCAATAAATTGTATGTACCAGTGTACATCATTCCTACCATGAAACTGGATAGACAATTTTAAATCAGTGCCATGGACATTAAACTGATTCCTTTCACATCAAAGAGATTCTATTTTGAACTAAACAATTATGGTAAAATGCTTTCTTAAAATTTACAAGGGTATTTCTACTATTATATAGTGGACAAATGTAAGTGTTTCCTGTCAGAACTATTCCGACATTAAAATCAATTCAATTTATATGACATACATAGATCAGCAACATGACAGATTTAGCATTTAATGTGTGCATACATGCAAACATAATGACAGCAGATATTATCAGAGAACTCAGCAAAGACATTAACAAGTACACACACATATCGATTCGTATGGTTCTAATGTGCATCCTGATGCCTTCTGTAGAGATATTTACAAACAACACATCACCACTCAAAACAGGCAAGACATATATCACTACTATAACCCCAAAGATATGTAGTACCACTCGAACTGGACATGACACATAGCACACATCGAACCTGGAAAGATAGTCATCACCAATTATCACCCCTTGAATATAACAAGACAAATATCAACATATGTATCACCTCTCTAACCTGACAATTTATCGCTTTTCCAAAATGAGAAGATACATTTACCCAATGAAGTGTGACAAAAAAATTATAACTTCTTGAACCGAACAAGACATTCAAAGCCTCTTGAACCAACCAAGACATGTATCACATTTCAAAACTAATCTATTCTATGAATTCGGGATGACATAACCTTTAACTGTAAATGGTGAGGGGTGTGGCTTCTTAACTCTCTTGATGATTGAAAGAATTATTGTATGTGCATGTTGTTTCATATATATCCACGCGGGTAGGGCATACAAAATCTGGACCCCGAAGAAATATTGGAATGCATGTAGGGGTTCCAATATATATCAAACAGGGATCGAACATTATATTTACGAATCTGTACCAACAACTAAGGTCTTGCAATTATCCCATATTATTTAATTACCTAATCTGATTTGAATCAGAAAAAATTGTATTATGTCAATGTGTGCACAAACAGTACTTAACTAGATATTGAACCTTTCATAATTAATATTTTTACAATTCATGTCATACAGTGAAATAGAAAAAGACTGAACATACATAAATAATATACAAATCTGTACCAACAACTAAGAACTTGCAATTATCCCATATTATTTAATTACCTAATCTGATTTGAATCAGAAAACATTGTATTATGTCAATGTGTGCACAAACGGTACTTAACTAGATATTGTACCTTTCATAATTAATATTTTTACAATTCATTTCATACAGTGAAATAGAAAAAGACTGAACATACATAAATAATATACAAATACAGTTAACGAGTATGCACGGGACTGAAAATTGAAATCAACCCCCGAGATATGATTCTCACCTATTACCTGAATTAAGTGACTTATTTTACAAATACAAATTACTGAGACAAAATGTTTAATTCATATTACATGAATGTGTATACCTGTAATTGTTCAATGGCATCTCGTTATTGTAATCTGTTTGAAATGTCTAAGTGCCTTGTTTTGCAAACATGGTGACTGACAGCGCTATGGCATAAATCCTCATTTTGCACAAGAGCTATCAATAGAATAATTGGTGCAATACAATGTTTCATCTTTAAAATAACATGGACATATGTAAATGATTTTTGGAGTTTTTATCTAATTAAAATGTCATGTTTTAATATTATAATATATTGATTTAGATTTAACTTGCTTCATAATAAACATGGATTTGTACCGGTACACTAATGACATATTGCCAATATCCGGTAGTTTGATTATCGTCAGCTTCAATAACTCCCAAGGTTTCAATTCATTAAAATTTCAAATTCAATTAACATATTTATTGTACTTTGAAATTGCATGTCTTTCTCTCACATTATCTATTTCTGTAGAGTCTTACAATATAGTTCTTTCAACTTTTGTATTTGAATGGAAAATTTCATTATTTTTTTGTGAAAAACAATTTTGTGCAATAAAGAAATTTATTTCGTTTACAATTGAAAATGTGACAAATACTGAACTACATTCAGATAGAGTGGGTATATGATATATCGCATATTATATGATACATAAACAGTTCATTCCATTCATTGGCAACAAAATGAGTGAATTTCAGCTTACACGTCATCGACAAGCATATTTAATAGCTACGAGTCCTGTAGTATAAATAACTTCATAAAAAAAGATGTTTGGCTCCTTTGTATCAGGATTATTTATTACAGAACTACCTTAATGTACACATTACCATATGTATACAATGCATTACTACGTTGAGCTCTTCACTCAGAAAATTGTTAAGACGTCCTCTTCCCCAAGCTCAACAGTAGTACAAGCTCAAAGACAGACGCATTTGAGCCCAGTTGTCTGCCTGTTGAAGATATTTTGTGGTTTCCAGTTAGGATTACAAGATTTGGTTTTAAGATCTTCTGCAAGAAATTATTTTATGTGCTGGTTATTTTCTCAGGCCTTTTCACCGGATCAAAGGCATTTATTTACGAGAATAAGCAAGATAAAAAAAGCATAACTCATTATTTTCTCATTTGAACGTGTTGAACATTCCACTACAAATATAACTATACGCCTGTCTGAGAAAACGTGTCCTCAATTTAATATTGCAAATCGTCGGGGGAGGCTATGTGCTATAATCATATAGTTGTAAAAATACTTAATCAATATTGAAGTTGTAAAGTTGATAAGCATATTATTTCATTTTCTAGTAAATAAATTATTGAGCAATATTTGCCACAAGCAATATGATTTGGTAATTTATATATGATGTTATTATTAGTACATATGCCACTGACAACACCAGGGGTGTATGTGAGTACCTACAATTGTTTTTAAATCTAAGATGAGATCAAACCATGTGACTAATAGTAAATCAATTTCCAAAGATTAGTGCACACAAACCAAATTTGAAATCAATGTGGTTAGTTTTTCTAAAACGTTTAAATTGACAATACATTTCAAAATCATTCAGTTCAAAATCATTTTTAAAACGTTTTATATATTTTTGTCAGTGAATTGGTTATATACTTTTACAAAACGTCACATAATATCTCACTCTTCTATTTATATCGGTTATATTGACATGTGTACAAGGAACAAAACAAAATGATCAATTTTAGCAACAAATTACATTTTATCATCATTTTACAATTTGTCATCTATGCACACAATACCCAGTTAGTAGTAAAGGTGTTTCTATAACATATGAAATTAGGTATGCGCATAATTAACACTGGATCACCCAAATACGTTAAACCATAAGCATAAAACTAGGTTAGTATTAAATATGTATATATATTAGACTTATGTCAGTAATATATGTGTATATCATGCTGCCACAGTTTTTTTCAGATTGCCTGATAAGTTTGATAAAAAGAGAATTCGCATTTTTTTCAAATTTTGCATGGCTACCACACCTTGTAACCAATCTCAAAAAGAATTTCAAAAATAAGGAGCACTGACATACCCTTCCAATAATCCAAACTCAGCAGTCGAGTAATGGGCATATAATACTATAACAATATACAAAGCATATTTACACACATAAATCAACGTACACGTGTACAGAAACGAATAGTCTTGGAGAACAAATAACTTTAATACACATGGTACACGCAAAAAAAAAAAAAAACAGTTGAAGATTTAAGGCATTTTATGAAATTTTCCTAGTTTAGTAAATTCCTTAAATGCGTGTTTGTTTTTTTTGAGCATTACATAATATTTGAGAATATATCATAGTGTTAATGATCGACATAGTCACTCAGTACGTGTCCATCTAAAAATGGTAAGATGACGTCATACAGTTTTTGTGAATTTTAGTTACAGGGGGAGACGTGTTGTTATTCAATAGCTTATTGATTAGAAAGAAGTAATGGCAGTCATGTATCATCGCATTATTGGATTAACCTAGAGTCACGTTATAATCAGGAGAAGCCAGGTGTATCAACCACCGACAAGGACACTTACTACAGAATGTATAATATAATTTTATTTGAGCGTCAACTATTGTTCTACAAGACTGTCAAGGGTAGTTACAGAGGTCAGCCACCTAAAAATTGTCTGCATAGACAGAGTTGGCCACTTGATTTGCCTACTCGTAAATGTGCAGTTTAACGCGGGCCTCTCTCATATACAATAGGATGTGGACATCTCAGCTGATTAACCAGTCATTGCCGGGTATTTTCATTCATTCATTTCATTGATTTCATTCTAAAATGTTGATATAATCAAGTATACTTCCAATATTTCGAATTTCTGAAATTGTTTTTTAACTTCCTTCTTTAATTGCACATCCTGTGTCATAATTGCTGACTGATAAAATTATATAACCTAATTAATAGCGTGGTTTGTATAACTGTAATTCTGCGACTACTATGTTGTATGTTCTAAAAACTCGCCATTCAGTAACTGTGAACATTGTTACTTTAGGGGAACTGCATCAGTATTTGTCGTAGTAGTTGCGGTAGCTGAAACAGCCATAGTTCTGCTTCTCCAGTGTACAACCTGACACAGTTGTTCCCTCACCCTCTGATTGATTCATGTAGAATTCATTTCGACAAGTGTAAATAACTCTTTATAGGCCTCTGGTGATAGAATGTAATGCCACGCAAGGGCATTCCATCAACTGACACATCTAATCTGAAGATGTGTGTCCAGGGAGAAACATCTAAGTACATACGATTAGTTTCCAGATTGAAAACACAATATGACACCTGCGTAATGTACAATATTATTAAACTCTTGGTTTAAA